CACACGTTGTGGAGTGCTGTTGCTTCCGTTCCTGTTGAAAAAAAAAAACAATTGTTTTTTATTTCTGTTGCTTCTATATGAACGTTGCCTGTACAATTTAATAGTTCCTTATCGCGTTTCTCCTGTTCGAGAAACGTTTGTTCGAGTAGAAAAATATTTGCTCGTCGGTGCTATTCAAATTTTCCCCTCTCTCGAGAGGAGCAGCGCTAGAAGTACTCGCTAGGTACTGTTCGCGTTACTTGCAATTTTTGCACTCAGCATCTTCGCTCTCTTTCTTCAACCCAAATAGTGCAATTTGATAAGTCAGTGACTTTTTAAAAGAAGACTATTCAAAAATAAATCGAATTTTGGTTAAAAAAAAGAAAGGAGTAAAAAAGTCACTGACTTATCAAATCGTTTTAAGTGTAAAAATTTTTAAAAATTTCAACAAGGGCGTAGCCATTTTCTATCACAAAATCACACATATTTTATTTACTTCATTTTTCCCTTAAAATTGTAAATTGATTCTTCCAACTGGAAAGCTTTAAATTTATAACACTAGTCGTCTTAGATTCTCAGAAAATCTTTCTATAATCTTCACCTTCCTTCTTTTCCAAAATTAATTTCTTGCGAATACTTATTAAGAATAGTCGTAAATGTATAATTTCTTTGTAATTATTTAAGTTCCTCTTCTTTAAATAAATGTTACCTGTCCCCGAAAGAGGAAAAAGAATAACAGAACAAGTAAAATGATAGACGGGCGAAAGAAAGTGCGAAATCAAAATGATGAAAATTATCAGTAAAAGTGGTAATAGAACTCGTATATCATAACAATTCTCGTGAGTCATGAACTGAATAGATAAAAGATATCTTTAAGATTCGAGGGGGAGGGAGGGAGGGGGGGGTATGACTCCCCTACCCCTCTCGGCTACGCCCATGGTTCGCATTTCAAGCTGACATAAAAGGGAAGGTGTAACATTCCCGTGGATGCGCAGTAAAAGAGTGAATTCGAGGCCATTTGATTGATTGTTTCCAGTCATTGTCACTGCCATTATATCCAATGTTACACCTTTCTTTATATCATGTCCCGAGCAACTTGGACAAATCTATTATTAACCGTGCGGTATATCTCGCGGAGACTCGCAGAAACCGATGCATTCTCATTTCGTCGGCGTGGCGCGCGTGTGAGAGGAGCCTTACGACGGTGGAAGCGATCAATTTATCGTTCGATTTATTAGGCGCGTAAACTGCTCGCCCCGTCGCTGCTCCAGGAGCATTTATCCTAATCTTCGAGGCGTGTTTCGAACCGGCGACAAAGAGAGCGAGAGGAAAAAAAAAAAAGCCAGAGATGCCGCGCGGTGCAGCGTGGCGCGAGAGGGACGGAGAGAACAAAAAGAAAGCGCGCTCGCGCGTTATATGTATATCGGGTGCAAAGCCACCGGCTGAGCGCAACGTCACGTTCCGGGATCTACGACGCATTGATTACGATGCAATTTTCAATGGACCGTAGCGGCGGCCACGGCGGCCGCACGGTGCATTACGCGCGACGCATTATTGCAAACGTCGCGACGTGTCAAACGTGACGCGTGTTCGTCGGGCATATCCCGATGCTGAGAGACATCCGCGGAAAACGAAATGGGGACGGCGCGTCCGTGCACGAATTTTTTCTTACGATAGCTACGGTAAGTAATGAATTAGAGAGTGCGACGATGGGAATCCAAATTGCTGCTCGCTTATTCCATCGCAGGATTTTATTGTCATCGCGGGATTTATTGTCATCTGTCGTTTCGAAACTACAATAACGCGAAAAGCTCTTTATCGAGCGATTAAAAAAATTGCGGCTTGAAAAAATTGAGAGCTTTTGCAAAAGAGGAAGCAAACGGCTCTCTACATTTGAAGAAAAATTTCTAAATTTCTAAATTCGTTTTCGCGAAGCGAGACGTGACAGTCGATTGCTTTAACTCTGGTATGCTTTATCGATACGTAAGTTTTATATACAAGTTAGCGAAGTCATTAAGCGCTAAGCTGTGCCTTTAGTGATTATATACAAGTAGGAAACCAATCTACCATGCTAAAAGCTAGGATAAGCCTCCGCGGAGACAAGCTTTTAAAAATTCTAACCGTTTTTTATGTAGCACTCTGGACCCTCTGCAGTATTAGAACAGAGAGCGTGATAAGTGCAGATGTCAGTTTTGTGTGTTATTATTAAGGTTATTATTTTGTATTGTTATGTATTTTATTACGAGGAGACGCACGCAATTGAACTCAATTAAATTCAATAGTGTACTTATAATGTTTTCTTTCCAAGTTAATAAGTGGATTATTTGTGTTTATAGAAGTCTAAATTATAAATTTTATTAAAAATGTGAAATATATGAGAAATTTGTGCTATATTAATAGATATTAATAAAGAGTGGTCTTATACAATTTCTTATACATAAAGTTTACGTACGGATATCGTATTAACTTACTATATCATTTAATAACAACAGCACTTTAGGGTTAATGCTTAATCAACATGAATCGATCGATTTTTTTGTCAACAAATCGATAGATGATTGTCCTCATTACATATGTTTGCGTTTATCATGCGAAAATATGATCTGTTCTTTGTGACTAAACTAGTGTAATTAAATCTACTGTGAAATTCATAATTAACGTGAAATTATACCAAATTTGAATTACTTTTAATAATTTCTATAGATCGCCACTCGCCATTGCTTGTAGCCAATGTATAATGTTATTAATTTGACTAAACAACTTAAAACAATAAAGTTAAACAATTTTACTCAAGAAAATATGTAAAATTTTATTCAAATTTAGTTTATTATGTACTAATAATGAATTCGATTGGATGCACTCGATGCGCACTGGTGCATATTAAAGCTATCGTATATAAATTGCTTTAAAGATGTGTGTTTAATATAAATATATTGCAGAAACAGGTCATACCGTGAAATACTTAATACATTTTATTGTGCTGTTAAGTAAAATGTATTTTATAATTCGAAATATTTGCATTTCACTTTTATTGTTAGTTTAAATCAGTATACAACGGTTTTAATATGCACCAGTGCGCAATAGTGCAACAGAATTCGTTATAAGTGCATACGTTAATATGGACGATGTTTACTTTGAAACTAACCACAGGAATGGAACGACATTTTGATATATATAGAAGTTGAAGAACAGCAAAATGTTATTTAACTCAAAGGATTGGACTTTATTACTTACTATTGTTTCTTCATTGACATCTCATAAATATAACAGGGTAAGGTGACACAATCTCAATCAATACAATTCTGAACAAAATATTTGAATCCACCTTTCGAGGGTCAAGTTTGATTTTTGTTCTGTTTGCATGCGTTTGGCGGTGTGTGTACTCTTTAGTACCCTCCTGACAATGAGATTAGGGTTACGAAACTTGAACCTCGAAATTGGATTTAGATCCTATTCAGAATTGTATCATGTTCAAAACTGTACCATCCTAGTTTGAAGCTTGGCGAAAGAGAGCGGGAGACACTAAAAAAATAAAAAATTTTGTAATACCTACTAAATGTTTAATGAAATAAAACATAGACATGTTCCTTTTAACGAAAGAACAGGCCTAATGTCAATTAAGTATTTGGTTAATATAATCAAAAATATCTAGAAAAATAAATATATTACTGATATATTAACCAACATTTCATTTTTTTTTGTCATTATTTCAGCAAATATTTGATAGCTGATCATCGAACTCTTTGATGTAAAAAATTTTAGCGCAATCCAGCGTAATGACGAAGAACAGTAACCAATTTAAATAAGTCAATATAAATCGATCGATGCATGTATTTCGATGGTGTTTCGTTACACGTCGTAGAACAGGCAGAGTCGGATGGGAAGGGGGGGGAGGGGGCGAGGCAGAGGCGAGGGAGCGGTAGGAAGCGTTAAACCGGGCGTGCAAATACTCGTCCGATGGACGATGCACCGGTCGTCGTGCACCCCAGCGACGGTACGTTGGGTTAGTTTAGGCCATAGCTTAATTTCCAAGTAGAGAATTGGCCATTCAACAACGTGGAGGGCAGACAGGCAGGCAGGCAGGGAGGCTGGATGGATAATTCGCGGTATGTCTCCCTCTGACCCGCGCGCGCGCGCGCGTGTACACGCACTGTACGCACTCTCTCCTCTCTCGCAGATTGCTGTACGCGATTTCAGCGCTGTTTATTTTAGCCGCATCGCGCCGCAGGGCGGGTTGCGCGCGCGGATTACGGGAAACATTTTTGCGATTTGTACGCTTCACCAAAGAGGGTCCGCGAACCGTCCAGCGGCCGAAAACCAACGTACGCGTGGCCGGGCGGACAACGTTGCCTATTATTTTCACGCTTTTACCGCGCCGCACGATCGCATATACATGACGCGTCATTACGGGCTCTTTGTAACGCGGGATGATGTTTCGTGTAACGCGCAAAATGGAGTCATATAACCGCGTTAACAGTC